GCTCAGCCCAGGGTCAGAGAATATTCTTTTCTTATTTTAAGGAGTATTGTTATTAAAATCATGCTTTGACATAAATTTGTGACATATGTGCCTACACAACCAATTTACTGTTCCCTGAGTTAAAAATACACACTGCAATGTGTTTGGTGTGGAAATATAACCGTGGCCTCAAAAATACTCTTAGTAGTAGCGGCATCCGAGAGGCCAAAATTGCTCTCACTTTGGGGTGAGCAAAGTCACAACTAAAAAGAGAAATCAAGGTGGGGATATCACTTCTGCACAGGAGCTGGATATGTCACCCTAGCATGTGGGTACTCCGCATTCCGTTTTCTTTTTGTTACTTTTATAATTAACCTCTAGGGATACAATGTATAATAAAGAAGCAGAAAGTAACATGGCATTATGAAGTCATTTCTTTCCTAAAGTATTATAATAACAGTGAACAAGATCAAGATGAGAACCCAGCTACCTATGGTATTAACACGGGCATGTTCTCAGTGCATGAAAATTGCTGACATTTTCCCCCAGGGTTAAAACTGTCAGGTCCAAATTCTGGCAGTTAGACAGATGCCAGCAGTCCTCTGGAACTTGTGAAGCCACTCCCCCCTACCAAAGGACCCATTTCTGTATCACCGACAGAGGGCTTAGTGGCTATTGGTGGTGCCTGTTGCCCTATTAAAGCGCAGGCTGTTCTCCACAAGAACTGGTTACACATTTCAGACCCGTGCTGGCATCCTGACTCCTCTCGCCCTGCCCCTTCCTTGCTTACCCTGAACATCTCCATCACGGGCTTCTCTCCCCACAGTTTCTCACTGTTCTTATAGCCCTGCTGCTATGCTGGCCCTCCCCCTGCCACCTCTCTCTCATCTTCATCTCTTAGCTCCACCTCTTGTCTCTCTCTCGGTCATCTCTCTCTCTTCCTCTCTCACTCTGCTCCCCTTCCTCTTCCCCTCATGGCCAAGTCCAGTCTCCTGCTTTCTCTCCTTGCTCTACGCTCTGCCAGATGCCCCTGGAGGCTCTCTCCCTCGTATTTACAATAAAAGCCTTCTGCTGAATCATACTTTGGAGTGTTCACGTCATCAGTGTATACAAAGACAACAACCCAGTACCAATGAAGTAAGCGAACGCGGTGTTGCCAGCTCACATTCTAAAAGAGTCCTTGGAGTATGTAAGTAGTTGTGAGAAAATACCCCCGAGTGATTCAAACTGAGTCCCTTTATTCTTCAGAACAAACCATCCTTTGAATAGTCTGGAAGTAAATTTGTACAGAGCAGGTCAGTATGGATCCCGCTGGGCACAGCATTTCGCCAGACACTCGGGATCTCAGGCTGTAAGATGGGGCAGCTGAGTCCACAGTGTCCCCATGGGGTAACACAGCTCCCACTGCAATGTTGATACCGTCGCCTGCCCCGGTCCACCAGGTCAGCTGGACCTCGGTTAGTCCTAGACGCCGCTCAGTCCACCCAGCACAATCTAAATGTCTCTCTACAGATAAAGATCAGAAATACATGGCTTGAGTGTACGTTCTCGCAACTAACAACGGTGTGCAAAGCATCCCTGAGGCACCGCAGGTAAAGGTGTTCCCTACGGATAGGGTGGGTGTCTCACCATGTGCCCGGGTCTTCTTGTTTGGAATAAGCATACGAGTCCGTCGGTAGCAAAACATATCACCCATTCAGGGAAAATATTATAGTATGGAAAGGTACTTATAACAACTAGCAAGCCATTGCTGACAGTTATTTACACAGTAACCTTGTAGCATGTGCTAAATGTTTCATGCTTAGAACATCATTTAATATTGACAGAGACCCTACTGCCACTTTGATTTTACATCTGCAAAAACCCTAAGTTGCCTTTGTTCACACAGACACACAAACCCAAGCCAGGGGCCATTGCCAAACAGGCACATGTTTAAGCATTTGTTTACTCAACCAAAGATACAGCCGTTTTTTTTTTTAAGTGTAAAAATGGATGGTGGGGATTCCGAAAAACTGAATTAAAAAAAAAATAACACAGAAGAGAGCAATACAAATGGCAGATGTCAAATTTAGACAAGAAGAGAGAGCCACGGCGACGGATAGGCACAGACAGCCACAGACCTGAGCGTAGATTTACGCATCTGTGGTTAACAAGGAGTCACCAACAATTCACTGGTCCCGTTGCATGAAGAGAGAAAGGCACTCCCCCTTGGAGTCGCTTAACCAACAGAGAGCCCACATGTGAGCGAGTCCTCCACATCAATCACGTTCCCTGTGCCATCTGCATGAGTCTGAATCTGTACAAGCCTGAAGGTTTTCTTATAAATCCGTCCCTGTGTCTGTCTGTCTGTGTATTGTCGTGTGAGTGTGAGTGTGTCTGCATGCACAAGTGCTGCTGTCTGTTGGTCCCTAACAAAGGGTTTTGCTCTGTATTCATTGAGCAGCGTAGACACAATCAGAGGGGGAAAGGAATATAACCATTTACAGAACTCTTTAACAGAGTTAAACAGATTGCGTCGCTGGCTCCAAAAGATCCAAATGACCCAGACAAAAAAACATCACTGTTTATCTACCAGTGTCCATACACAGCCATTCTGGTGGACTTTAGGATGTTGCTTTCAACGTCTGTATTTTCTACTTTCAGCAAAAGACACACATGCATTATCCAAGTCAGGGGCATGGAAGGTAAGATTGCAGATAGGCCTTGGCGTGGGCTGTAAATCCAAGGCGAGTAAGGTGGATTGTTAAATTGTTCTCTTAAAAGTGGGGTTAAACAAAGAGTTCAGTGCAGTTAGGACAGGAGTCTTGAGCCTTAAGGGGTGGACTATTAACTTTGGCTGTGAGGTACAGCAAAGACTCTAGTCTCTCAGACTGTAAGAGATATGTCCATACTATTGCAAGACTGGAACACACTGCACACTCACAGAGCCTGGAAGCCGGGAAGCAAAAGCAGACCCGGAATGCGGTGTCTTACTGAGAAAACAATGGAGACAAACAAGCAGCCTGTGCTACACCAAGAGCAAGAAGCTCGGCACATGAAGGTTGACTCCTGCGGCGTACCACCAGCTTCTTTCCAACAGCCTTGAGGATAATGAAAGTGTCAGAGCAATTCGACATCCATCTTTACTTCAAATTGCTGTATCTAAAAATCCCCCCCCAAATCTCCCCACACAGACTTGATGTTAAAGTAGCTCCCAGAGTTCCAGCCTTTGGACAGCAGAGGCCACAGTGGAGTGGCAGGGACCAGGAGGTGTCCAAGGGAAAGACCAACAAAAGACACAAGCCCGAGGATACTGAGGCTGCAGAGACTAACGGCTCCGGAGGATGCACCCTGCACAGGGGCCACGGGGAGTCTGCTATACCAAGAGGGATCTGAGAATGTGACCTTTCACCTCCGTGCAACTATGCCAACTCACTCCGTCCCTCAAGGCTGTTCTCAACCCTGGGTAACACTTATTGCTGAGATCCGTAACTCATCGAAGTGCTGGGGCAAGAGACTGCTGAGCTCTCAGTCCCTGAATGAGATGATTTTTGTCAAGGTTCCCCCCCTCCCAGCTCAGGGAACACTAAAGAAGAATAGAAAGTATCTAAGAGCAAGAGTGTGCAGAGGATGCTGGGGGATGCTGCAGAGGATGCTGGGGGATGCTGCAGAGGATGCTGGGGGATGCTTCAGAAGATGCTGGGGAATGCATCAGAAGATGCTGAGGGATGCTGGGGGATGCTGCAGGGGATGCTGGGGGATGCTGCGGAGGATGCTGGGGATGCTGCCGGGGATGCTGCGGAGGATGCTGGGGGATGCTGCGGGGGAAGCTGCAAATGATGCTGAGGGATGCTGGGGATGCTGGGGATGCTGGGGGTGCTGGGTGATGCTGTGGGGGAAGCTGGAGGATGCTGGAGATGCGAGATGCTGGAGGATGCTGTGGAGGATGCTGATGAATGCTGGGAGATGGGGGATGCTGGAGATGCTGGGAGATGGGGGATGCTGTGGATACTGGAGGATGCTGCAGAGGATGCTTGGGATGCTGGGGGATGGAGGATGCTGCGGAGGATGCTCTCTTCTGGATATACCATGGCACTCAGTGCATTTATGAACTCACTGAAGTTACGGTCACCTTCACAAGCCAACAAAGCCAGTCACATTCCAGCAGAAAGTACTATTCAGACACAGTGGATTAAAAATGTTTAAAAGAGGACATGAGTATTGGGGAGGGGCATGTTGGGAAGATAATGGGTGGGAAGGAGGAGTTAGGAGTGGATAGGAGCAATGTAATTGTCAAAGAATCAATTTGAAATAAATCAAGAAAACAATTGCTTCCAGTGACCCATCACTAAAACCTTTTATAAATTCTTACCATACCACCTCACACTTGAGAAGACAACACACTAATTCCGCTTATGCTATGTCCATCATGCCTGTCCTTTCCAGCATGAACTTCAAATTTTTTCCCCTGAGGCAGGCTCCCTCCTACATACATAACTAAGATAATCTCCTTAGGAGAGGCTAAGGCATGGTCCTTAGCTTTGGCTTTGAGTCTATGTGGGAAATTAAAAGATAGTATTTCTCAACAAACTCATATACAGCTTAACTAATAGCCAGAGAAGGGCCCCAAATCTGAGGGGCCTCTGTTTCAAGCATAAGTTTGCTAGCGGGTCTCTCCAACACCCACGAGACATGTGTTCAAGGCATAGTCTCCTCATAAGCCATTCCTGGGAGGGGCAGAGCCCTAGCAAGCGAGTGGGTGTCCCATGGATTGGAATATGCTCTTGACGTGTACTTCAACCCCATCCCTGCCCTTATGAAGCCAGCTGATGAGGCTTTATTTGCCCCCCACCACCACGCACTCCCTGCCACTGCTGTGGGAGGTACCCACGGGCCGGCCCTCCCAGTGCCCCTAGCTGTGGAAAGCCGTGATCGAGAACTGGGACTTTCAAAATAAACCTGTTCTTCATGAGTTAATTGATGACACTAGGGAATAGCACATTAGTCATACCTAGGACTGAAATAGGGAGGTGGCGCTTAACGGAGGCTAAGATGCTCCTCTTCCTGCCAGCAGGTGCTAAAGCCGAGCCCCATCTTCCGGCTTGACACATCGGCAACCAGGGCTCTTTGGAATGTCTCGGGCCACGTCATGTTTTCAGACTCTCCACGGTGTTTACCACTCTTGATATATTCCAAATTCCTTACAAAATGTAAAGACTAGATTCAAGGCTTCTATGGGGGGGAGCACAGTGTGTGGGTAAAGAGAAAAGGCATGGGGGAAAGGACTTCAAGGTTTCCAAACAGCACTCCCTCACAGCAGCAGAGGGATGATGGTGTGCCTAGGTCATCCAGGCTCTCCAGTCCCTCCTGTCATTCACAGCTAGGACATGTACGGCCACCGGCCTCCGCCGCACCAGCCCAGCCTGGGGGCCCAGGGTACCTGCTCCCCTCCAGCTGTTTTCTCTGACACCTTTCCTGCCTGTTTTCCATCTGACTGGAAGCCACATGGAGCCTCGTCACATTTTAACTACACTTAGTCAATCCTTTGAGAAGAAAAGGGAAAGGGTGCCACCTAACTGCCCAGGGAGCTCTGTTCTCAGGGCTGATTTTCTTCTTATTGTGGCTGCATATTGATTATATTGATCATCAGCCATAGCCCTCCACATGCAACTCATTGTTACCGGATCTGATGACGATTTCACAGGGGGAGACACACACACACACACACACACACACACACACACACACCGCGGCTGCATTCTCCAGAGCGAAATGGCAATTTCACTGAACTTACACCTTAAGGAGGCACACGCCCGCCCTTGTGGAAATGCTGGGTAACACTATGCCTTATTTGCCTTTGGATCTTCAAGTGGATTTATTTTATGATGCACTGATATGTTCAAAATATTGACAACTGTCGGTTCTTTCCATGACCATATCTTCTATATCAAACATCTTAAGTAGTTGATCACTAGCAAAACGTGATTTTTTAAATCCGATTAATAATCAGAACATTGGAAAAGGAATAACTTGAATGAATACAACATGTTTAAAAGTATAAAGCACCCTAAAGAGACCACACTTTTAAAATACACTTGATTTACTGCCAAGAAAGTGCGTGGGGAACAATTGGGAGTTGGTATCACGCCTTGAAAGCTGCTTTTACATTATAGTTCCAAGGACACAGAGACAGTGATGAGCCTCCCAAAGCTCAGGGCAAGCCTCAAACAACTCCACCCACCAACTCTCTCTGCTTCCTCAGCACCTGAGTTAAGGTCTCTCTCCTCAACCATGGATTGCTCCTCCCCTGGAGTTCCTGTCCTGTGCCTGTGGTTGCAGAGTGAAGCTGTGTGAGCATCAGAAGACTCCCAGAAACTCCAGAGATGACTTAGAAGAAGAAAGGAAAGTTCCTGAGTCTGGTGTTTGCAAACTCCTTAGGAAGCGTTCCAAAAGCTCTACACATAGCATCAATAAATGGATGGATGGACGGACAGATGGACGGACAGATAAATAACAAAGAGCTGAATGGTAGACTCCAAAGTCAACCCACCCTTCTGAAAGTCTACAGACAGATTCAGAAAGAGACAGGGAACCATCACCCATCCTCAGGACTATTATACACACTGGATTTGAGTAAGAATGGCCCCTGTGGACTTCTGTATTACTTCAGAAGCTGGAGAGATGACTCTACATATAAAGTCAAAAATAGCAATATAATAAAACAAAATAAAATACCGCTTTGTAAATCTGGGCCTTTATTGCTTCTTACAGTATATTCAAAGTGAGAGAATATAGTGTATCCGAATCGCACTCCATTCATACCCAACTGCCCTGGGCAAGAACATGGCTTATAAAATGTTAAGGACACAAGACAGAAGTACAAACTGGGGAGAAATAGCAGGAAAGGACTTGTGTGTCATAGCTGCACTATACCTAGATAGGCTCACAGACTGCAAGCAAATAGCTCCTCCGGCTCACACTCTTGGAGAAATAAGATAGAGCACTTCAGACCGTCACAACTCGAAGATTGGAGTCACAGGGAAAGCATGGCCCCAGCACACAGGGATCCTCTGGACTTTAGAAATCTGCTCCATGATATATGCTTGCTCCCCCAACACAGCCAAGACAGGCCAGACTGGGGTATGGTGACTCTGGGAAAAATCAAGACACATACAAAAATGCAGTAAGAAGCCCAGAAGCATCTCCATTATGGGGACAAAAGGGACATGCCCCGCCTCAACCCAAACCTCAGCAACAAGAGGCTTTGGGATCAGGTAAGCTGAAACATAGCTCTCAAACAAGGGTCCGTGTCTCTAAACCATGGCTTTGAGTGGCAAAGCTGGGAGACATGAGCTTCTGTCTCCACCTTTCCCCAATGGCGGATACCTGTGTCAGCCTAGAGGCATAAGACATACTAACAGGGTTTTCTTCCTCTTTTACATTTTTAGAAGTTTATTTATTTTATGTATACAAATGTTCTATCTGCATGTGTGCCTGCACACCAGAAGAGGGCATCAGATCCCACTATAGATGGTTGCTGGGAATTGAACTCAGGATCTCTGGAAGAGCAGCCAATGGTCTCAACCTCTGAGCCTTCTCTCCAGCCCCAGGGTTTTCTTGAAAACAAAGTTCAAAGATTTACATGTTTATATTTTCATCTCCTCAAAGTAATGCCTATAATGTACTATTTATTCAAGTGGTTTTTTTTTTTTTTTTTCTGTTACTCGTTTCTTTAATCCCAAGCATAGTCTGCATGACCATCTGCCAGGGATCCTGCAAACACATGCCTACATCAGCCAGAATGGAAGAAAAAGATACTTCCAATTTTAATAAGTTTTCTCACTTTCTAGAAACACCAAGAATATCTGATAGAATAAAATAATATAATTGGGGATGAAGTGATAATTCAACTGCTTACACACATGCATGAATTTATGGCTGTGCACACATACATAACCCAAGTACAGATTAGACAGCACACTCCAACTTCAGACCATTTGGTCATTTCAAGGTTTGCTACCCAAACCAGGACTTGATCGTAAAATATACAACCAGAAATTTAGTTGTTCACAATACAAACAATACCTCTCCATCTAAGTTTCTAAAAAGTTATTGACTAAGAACCAACATTCAACCATAACATTTTCATTATAGGGTTTAAACTTTGTAGAAATGAAAATGTCTTTGGAAATATAAAAATTCATAAATACACTTACAAAAATTATAGCAATGAAAGGAAAGAATAATTGGCATTTCTAAACTTTAAGCAAAAGCAATTTGCCCTTAAGCAAATGATTTATAATCATATCTTTATAACTGCAAGTAACTGAATGAATTTCTTTAAAATTATTCAAAGCATTAGGTAATGGTTTGGTAAAAGGGAAGCTTCTCACGGGGGGGGGGCATTGTTTTTATTTTGCATGGCATTTCTGGAGTGGCATGGGCAGGGCCTGTGGCATGGGGAAATCCGTTGCAGCACAATCTCCCAGTCTTCAGGGAGACGGAACATCACACTCGATGGCCACATCCGTCAATACCTCATTTATGCTTCTTTGAATTTTGAATTTCATTCCATTTTTCATGAGTAAAAAATAAATAGTTTAGCATTGTTCTAGTGTTTCATGATTTCTCACACAAATACAGCTCTAGATAAACTGAGAAACACGTAATTTGTAGATAAAATTTTCCCATGTGTTCTTTTTAAGTGCGGGAAATGATATCACTGAGCAAAAATCTGTTTAAAGGTTCTCCTTCCAAGATACAACCCATCTGACCCAGCCTCTTCATCCGCCCCCTTCAGTGGCTCTAGATAGAGATGCGGGTACACACTTTATATTTCTAGGTTTTCAATCCCACTAGGCATGACAGAACACACTGATAACACACTTAGGGGCTGAAGACAAAAGGCTCTCAATTTCAAGTCCAGCCTGGGCCACATAGTGAGTGAGACCTTCTCTCAAAACACAAAGACAAACAAAACTTCACAGCCTGCTAATTTCTCCATTTCATTATATATGTACTTGTATTGACTGCTTTGTGAATTTGCCAGCACAAGAAATGTTATTTTCTTACTAATTAAACTCCTGGACCCTAAGGAAGATTTCACAAGTACTTTTGTCAAAGTCTGATAGGACTGAAATCCCACTTCAAGAAACTGTAGTGAGATACCACCCCACCCACACCTGGTCCACGACCACGTCCATTGGGCGTGAGGACAGGTGTGGGCATGACCTGGGGAGGGAATAGGTCTGGGGTCCTAGACCCCAGCTCTCTCTCTCTCTAGCTTCCTGGTTGGAGACAGAGAGCATCCAGAGGCATCCTTGGGACAGGAACCTGCTGGTGGTCATCTGTTTCAGGTGTAAGTGATTTCTCCCTGACTAAACATCCATCAGCTTATCGTTTTCCCAGATTCTTATTTATACAAGCTATAGGAAACATTCAGGATTAATTTTCTATGTTAGGTTAACGTTTCAAGGGAAGCTGGGCATGCTGACTATAATCCTAGCATTTAGGAGGACTGATGCAGGAGGGTGATAAGTTCAAGGTTGGGCTGACCTTCATTGTGAGACCCTGTCTTGAAAAGCAGAAAGATAATATAGTGTTCCAAGTGGAAAAGAAGCAGAGGTGGTCTATGGCCGCAAGCCTCCACCACTGTGTGCCTGACCAGACTGGTGAGGTACAAGCCCCCAGAACACAGCGACAAGAGGAATGATCTCGTAACTTCTTCAAAAGACTTTTTTCAGTTCAGAAGAAAGATGTGTGGATCTGCACATCTATTTAACTATGATGGCCTCTGTGATAGAAATTTCAAATAGCATAGATTATAGAGAAGCAGTAGAGAGGAAGAGAGAGAGGGGGAGGATGAGAGAGAGAGAGAGAGAGAGAGAGAATGGATAAAATCATCTCTCTACAAATAACCTAAGCTGCTTCTTTGTATTTCTGAATTCAAGTGACATCCTTAGATACTTTGGGCCAGAGAAGGTATGAAGAAATCTGTAATGCTCACACACACACAGGCATTACTACTGCTGAATTTCTTATCTTCATTCGTGACCCAACACTCAGTGAGAACCTTTGGAAGTACCGTGTTTGCGATTTCCACGGAGTGAGACGGATCTTAACTTCTTTTGTGCCAAATGCCAACCAACGGG